CTGGTCCTGGATCTATACCCTCTCCTCCAACTTTGGGGGCCTCCACAGGGTCGTCGCTTTCCGGGTCCAGGCTCTCCACGTCGATTTCGAACTCGCAACCCGACATTTTCCCCGTTTAAAAAACCTGGAGAAATAGAGATAGAGAGAAAAAAACAAGCTTTTAATCAATCAATCAATCAGTCAAGTTTATTTGTACAGGACTGTCTCAGAAAATTAGAATATGGTGATAAAGTTCTTTATTTTTTGCATGTTTTTTGTATTGTTTTATGGCTTTGTTGTAAAGCACTTTGAGGGCTATAGGACTGTCTCAGAAAATTAGAATATAGTGATAAAGTTCTTTATTTTTTTAATGTTTTTTGTATTGTTTTTTGGCTTTGTTGTAAAGCACTTTGAGTATTTGGGTATTGTAAAGGGCTATAGGACTGTCTCAGAAAATTAGAATATGGTGATAAAGTTCTTTATTTTCTGTAATGCAATTACAAATCATGTAATGTCATACATTCTGGATTCATTACAAATCAACTGAAATATCGCAAGCCTTTTATTGTTTTAATATAGCTGATTATGGCGTACAGCTGAAGGAAACTCAAAAATCCGATATTCTAATATTTTGAGATAGGATATTTGGGTTTCTTCAGTTGTAATCAGCGATATTAAAACAATAAAAGGATTGCGATATTTCAGTTGATTTGTAATGAATCCAGAATGTATGACATTTCATGATTTGTAATTGCATTACAGAAAATAAAGAACTTTATCACCATATTCAAATTTTCTGAGACAGTCCTGTATAGCCCTTTACAATACCCAAATGGTACTCAAAGTGCTTTACAACAAAGCCATAAAACAATACAAAAAACATACAAAACATACAGAAACAACTAAAAGTGCTGTAGTGGTGCAGACCCTAGTCCCAATTAAATGCTCATTTTAAAAAGTGGGTCCAATGACTGTACAATAAACACGTGATCAGACCACGTTTTTAATTAAACACTTTTAATTTGGATGCATGCTCATTTTGTATCTATAAACTCAGCACTAGTGCCTATTTTACGTAGCTGAAAAAACATATAGAAACGGATAAATGGCTGAAAGTCTAAGTTATTTATTCTGAAGATTCAAAACTGGAGCCAGAAACGAAGAGAGGATTTGTTTTAAATCAAGAAAGCAGAAAAAAGATGTTAAACGCCTTTTTTTTTTAAATCAAGGACTTTAAAATAAGACTCGAAATATTATTAGTTATTCTCCATAATCAATGTTCTAATTCTGAAGAAAATATATCGGAATAAATAGTGTGGAAAACGCTATATTCCGTATTTCCAGTCTTAAATTTAGCAAAACTGCGACCAAATGGGATTTTTTTTTTAAAGATAGAAACAAGATGCAAAATCGATAATAGTCCGAGACACTATTCTATCTTTTCTTGCACCAGATTAGAGGAAAATAACAACTTAATTTACATTTTAAGTGAAATAAAACAAACCCAGAAGAGTTTCATATCGTTGTTTGGAGCTCCAAAGCCATGGGATTTTTTAAGAGATAGAAACAAGATGCAAAATCGATAATAGTCCGAGACACTATTCTATCTTTTCTTGCACGAATAGAGGAAAATATCAACTTAATTAACATTTTAAGTTAAATACAACAAACCCAGAAGAGTTGCAAAGCTTTGCTTGGAGCTCCAAAGCCATGGGATTTTTTAAAGATAGATACAAGATGCAATATCCATAACAGCGACACTATTCTGTCTTTTCCTCCACCAGATTAAAGGGGAAATTTACGCTAACTTTACATTTCTAAGTTAAATACAACGAACCCAGAAGAGTTTCATAGCTCTTTTTTGAGCTCCAAAGCCATAAAAAAGGGGTTCCCTTTACCTCCGGAGGTCGAAGTAACCAGGTCGTTACCACGGTGACGTTTTCCACCTAATTTCCCACAGCTCGCGACCTAATTAGCTGCTAATTGAGCGGAAGAAAGAGGCTCGCGCCGCCAAAGTATCCAACTTCTCTCTGAAGAAAACCGGCGAACGGGGGCTCCTAAGAGCCGAAGCAGGGCGCGATTCCCGGCCTCTGATTGGCTGCCTCAGAACGCTCACCGGCCAATGGGAAGGCCGGATTCTGCGGGAGTGGGCGGGGCCTTCCCAGTAACGGCCGTTGGCTAGTAACGGTAGCCGGTAGTCGATTACTTCTGGAGTTGTCTTTTCACGGTCGTAACTGGAAATAAAAGGTAATAAACGTTAGTTTTTATTCTTTTTTACAAGTTGTTGCTTGTTTTTACCTTCAGGGGATATTTTAAAAAGTATAAAAAAACGTACTAGTCTGGAGGAAGTTGGATAATTAAGACTTAAAGCTGTTAAGCTAATGGTCAAACTTGAAGGTCTTTACTGAAAAGCGTATTTGTCACTTTCATTTAAAAAAAAAAAGAATATATATATATGTTTTTATAACAGCTTTCCATTGCTAATAAATGGAATACCTGACCAAGCCAAACGCCTAAACTAAACTCCCCGGCCTCTGATTGGCCGCTTCAGAACGCTCACCGGCCAATGGGAAGGCCGGATTCCGCGGGAGTGGGCGGGGCTTCCCCAGTAACGGCCGTTGGCTAGTAACGGTCGCTGGTAGTCGATTACTTCTGGAGTCGTCTTTTCACGGTCGTAGCTGGAAATAAAAGGTAATAAACGTTAGTTTTTATTCTTTTTTACTAATTTTTACCTTCAGGGGATATTTAAAAAAGTATAAAAACACGTACTAGTCTGGAGGAAGTTGGCTAATTAAGACTTAAAGCTGTTAAGCTAGTGGTCAAACCTGAAGGTCTATATTGAAAAACGTATTTGTCACTTTCATTCAATTAAAAAAATTAATGTATTTGTTTTTATAACAGCTTTCCATAATCCTTTTCCCTAAATACCTGACCAAGCCAAACACCTAAAGTGAACCATCAGTCATGGAATAAACAGAAAAGCTGTTTTAAATGTATTATGCCCCAAAAATTCGGATTTATTTTTATTTTTTCACCTAATTTCCCACAGATTTGTGCTTTAAAATGCGCATATTTGTTGCAAAGAAAGATTGCAATCACTATTATAAATCCCCGATACGTTTAACATTAGTGGCTTATTGTTATTTGAGAAAATGCTTAACACAGACTCTCGTTTTTCTTTGTTTACAGGAACAAAATGATAAAGAGATCTGTGTCCGTCAGGTGAGAAACGAGGCCTGCGGGTGGTTTTGTGTGATTACACTGTTTTCACAACAAACACACACATGATATTTTAAAATTACCATGTCAGTAATATTTAGTAATAATACACCTGGAACATGGCCGCATAAGCACTTTTGTTTTATTGTTTTTGTAACCAAATCTCACATCCCGTTTTAAACCGCTTTGTCTCGCGATGTGTTGTGACACAAACGGGAAC